GAAAGGAGTTCTGCAAGAAAATAGCCCTGTTTTCAGTATGAATGCATTGCTTCTTGGTGGCAATTTAATTCAGTTTTAATATTTAAAGTGGCAGCATTATGAATTTTCCAGGCATCTGGTGCCATTTAATAGCACAGTCATGTAACTACAATGCCTTAAGTTGCTGTATATATCAAACATGGCTTGAAAGAAATTTGATTTCCCAATTAGACACCATGAAATTGGCCTCTGTCTTTTTAAGAAGCTCCTACTCTTTCCAACACTCCACCTTCAACACGTCATCACAACAGATTCAAGGATTTGTCAAACTTGGATCAAAGCAACGCTCCAGGTATGTATTTGATTCTGGAATAACATAACATGATATGAAGCTATGAATACCGCCCCTTTAAGTTCTTATTTCCAAAGTGCTTTGTGATTCTCTCATTATTCTTATCTATGCAGCAGGTTAAGCTGGCCCATATTTGCAGTTCCTCCATAAAGTTCCTCCGCTTCTTTTGGAAAGGAGCTGAAACTAAAAAGGAGCTTGGAGGGTTTTAAAAGTCTAGTCGATATCTGGGACGACTTTTCTACTCGTGGAAAGAAGGGCAAGTGGATAAAAGTGCTGCACAGACAGAGGAGCAGCTGGCTGCTTGGTCTTCAATCAGCATATAATTTAAGAATGAATTTAAAGGACGTCACCGACTCTCCTCCTGACCTTACTTTCTCAAGCAAGTCGCTCCTCTACTTACTCCACTCCTTCCCCCCTTCAGCCTGCCCACCATCTTGTTCGACATTCCAGTGCCGTTCACGCCAGCTCCGCCTGTGCTTTCCCACACGAGTCAACAAACCGAGGGCGACGTCGACTGCGGGCTTCCTGTCTGATGAGAATGCAGTGAGGCGCCACAACAAGTGGCTCTTGGCTGCTCTCTGCTCCAACTGTGTTCACTGAGCTGATCAAACAAATCCCTGTGTGCTTGCAGGAGAACCTCCGCAGGAAAACCGCCTGGGGGTCGGGATGGTGTGCGGCATCTTGAATACAAACCTTCTCCACTCCCCCCTGTCGAGTAACCTTTTGTTTCTTGTCGTGAACCGATGGAGCAAGCGCATTGCGTTTGAAGAGCATGTTTCCCCGAGACGAGGCAGCCGGCTGAGAGACGGGGAGCTTTTTTTTTTTTTTTGTCGATTAGAAACATCCGTCTGGAGGTAGAGAGTGGAGCTCATGACACAGGTAATCCTGAGGAAAAATAAAAACAGGAAAGGTCAATAGAAGGCGAGCATTCATAGAGCTGTGGAGAGGAGAGCTATAGCATCTCTGACGGATCTGCATCGATTGTTAAACTTGTTGAAACACGAATGATGCTGTTTGGCTGTCAAAACGTTATATCAATGCAGCACAGGAAGGATGTTTATTGTCTGTAAAAATCAGCAGAACCAAGATATCTGCAAATCAGACTATCTATCTATCTATCTATCTATCTATCTATCTATCTATCTATCTATCTATCTATCTATCTATCTATCTATCTATCTATCTATCTATCTATCTTGTTTTGTTTTGTGACATTTTTGTTAGTTTTACTTCTAAAAAAGTTTTTGTGAGAAGGTTTTACTTGCAGAGTTTTCAGGTGGGAACGGACATGACGCCCAGCCGCTCCCAGCCAGCACAGCAACCCTCCAGGAAAACTTCCAGAAAACCGCAAAACTGCTGAAACTGCTTTAAACTACGAATAAAACCCCATCTACTTGGAGTTGCTTTGGATTTCTAGCAACTGAAACATTGATCTGTAGAGTCGGTTGATGATTTTGCTGATATTTGACAAAAGGTGACGTTTGTTGCCGTATCGTGTTTTTATAGTATAGAGCACATTGAACTGCCTCGTTGCTGAAATGTCTTATATCAATATACGTGACTAGAAGAAGTGGTAAAGTTTCTACATTTTTTTGGATTTGATTTTCTTCCATTAACATTTACATATGCTGTCCTGTTTCAGATCTCAGGGTGCATTGTGGGTACAGTAGTCCCTCCGATGAACAGAGGGTGATATTTCTCAATGCAGCTCACCTGGATTTGACTCTCTGTCTGGGCCATTTGTGCATATCGTCCATTTCTTTTTCTGCCCCATTTTCAGTCTGCACAGACTATCAAATAAAGCTTTAAAAGCAGTATGCATTAGCCAGAGGCATCCCTAGCAGAACACTGTAAGTTATACAACCAGAGATCTTTTTCACTCTGAATGTGAAAATTGTTGTAGCACAAAAAATGAAAAAAAAAAAGGCTTTAAAGAAAGAAGGAAGGCTGGCTCAAAGAAAACGCTCCTCCTGGACCACTTGAATGGATTTTTCAGACTTGTAGCTTTTCTTCTCCTCCAGGTTTGTCCGCGCCGGCAGCCTGGCCTCCCTCTGTAACGAGTCAGTGAGGTAGCTACCTGATCCGAGTCGAGGATGTGGAGGAGTGAACAACCTACGGGAATAATTAATGACGGCTTTTGGTAATTGCTATCATTACATTGCTCACAGTTGTGGGGTTTTTAATTTAACTAGATTTGACAGCGATTTCATTGGAGGTAACAAACTGCAGCTGCCAGGCTGATGGCTCAATCTTCCACCAGCGCGTCGGAGAAAGCGAACGGAAGTGATTACGCAGTCATGACCGGAAGGTTTTGGCAGGGACACGAATATTGTGGCTTAATCTCCAGTTTTATCGTTTTCAGTCGTCACATTAATATGCGGAGCGATTAGATATTTACAAACTAACTGCAATAACATTTATGCTTGCTTAATTAATTTATTTATTTTTAAATAGATCCACAGTCTTTTTGCCCTGGCACTCAGTTGTATGGAGTCCTCACCTCGGGATATTTATATCATCAGCATCTGTGAATACCTCACAGAGTTCAATTGAAATCAGTCTGTTAGCCTAATTAGCAGACCATGAAAGCTATAAATCTAATTAGCGGGCTATGGATGCCAAAAGAACGGTGAATGTGCCTGAAATCGGTGTCTTGTATCAGCAGCAATTGCTTTCAGAAGAAGAATAGTGTTCTGCCATCACTGATTTGCATCAAAATAGCCTCACAAGGCAGAAAATTGCTGCTAAGAACATTGCACCTGAACGAACAGCTTCCTGTGACATAAAACCTTCACAGTGAGGCCGGTGAAAGCGCATCTGGCTTCCAGACGAATTCACGACTTACGACTGTGTTCTCCTGAAAGATCTGTCGCAGAACCGAAAGGCTGTTTTGTGGCTCCATCCTGCATTCCTAATGGACATCGACTTAGGAAGGAAAGCAAAGACTCTTCTTTCGAAGAACCAAAGATGGACTGAAATCATCTGAAAAGTGCAGGGGATGAATAGCAGTAGAGCGATTTAAGCCTCCCGTTTAATACGCCCCCTGATTATTTGGAACATGTCGAAAATTATTTATCCAGACAAGATTAGCAGAACTTCAGTTCAGTTCTCTGTCTTGGCAGCCAGTGGAGGGGGGATAAAACCTCACTGAGGAGTTAAAATCTATCGCCAACACAGAGAGCGATGCAGTAATCAGTTCTATAGCTGGTCAAAGTGTGTATATCGTAAAAAAGGCTTAACCTTAGCTGGAAGGCAAATGTAATAAAAGCTTGATTTGAGAACTGATGTCGATGGTGGCATCCTCACCAAACAAGATGTACCAAGTCTTTTATTTAATCAGAAACAACACATAATGGTTGAACCACTGTTCCACTGTACAGATACAATGTTACTATTAGCAGGTGTTTGAGATGGGTAGATCTGAAGATCATCTGCGTAAAAGAGAAAGGAAAGATCACCTGTATGTTTCTCTTTCTCTACCACTTGTGGCAAATGTTCCTGTTTAGATTCTGAACTTCCTGTTTAGATGCTCTGATTCTGGATCTTGACAGCAGCACAGCCGCTGAACTGAGTGGCTGTGCACCACAGTAGGATTACTGCTATTTGCTTTGTGAATCAGGTAGCAAACAGGTTACAGGAATAAAAGCTGTGGAAAACACCGGCACAAATCCACATATAGAGCAACGTTAGTGACTTTGAGGGAAGTTAAACAAGAACAAACTTTAACATTTCTGAGATTTTATTCCAAAAGTGCAACCTTTTTTTGTTTTTGGCTTAGATGTTCTTCCACGAGTCGATGCCGCCGTGTTGACACGTCCAAACATTTAAGCCATTTCCAATAAGCACCAAGAACAAAATAAACCATCTATCTCTGTGGGAAAAGTTGAACGACTAACTCTGAAATCGCATGGCTCGTTTTAAATCACAGAAATACAAATAAGCTGACCTTTCCGGGGAGGCTGCATGTGAAGGCCACAGAGAGAGAGAGAGAACCATCCGGCAGCTCATTAACAGCTCCACACTGGTTCTGTAAAAGCTCCGAGGCAATCTTTTATCTACAACTGGTTTGGTAAACAACACAGAAAATAATCCAAAAAAAAAAAAAAAGGTCAGGACTGTCAGTGCCAGTATGAAAATCCAAATCCTCCCAAATCATGGAAGACAGGATAAAGTAGATTTGCAAAAGTGACTCTGTTCCAGAAAAGCAAACAAACAAACAAGTATGTCAAAATGTAATTGCTTTATTACAGCAGAGAAACATCAGACATAAAGATTTGCTTTGTTGTGTAAAAGTATACAAGTAAAAACCTTGATCAAAGTGCAATCATCTCTCTCTCTCTTCATTATCTTGCCTCAGTCTGCAGTCGACAGCTTCTCGCATCAGATCAACGCGCGAGCTTTCAGCACACAAACAGATTAATACATCAACAGACTGCAGCCAAGACCAACCAAAGGTCCAAATTGTGCCTGAGAGTCGGGAGGGACTCTTCCAGCGTCTGCTCATCTGGACAGAGTGAGATATTACAAAAACGAAAACTTTGGGAGGAAAAGGCTCGGATCATTTTCACAGCAAAACAGCGATCCTGTTATCGCAGGCGACAATTTGCATCGCACAAAGTCGACTTAAAACAGTTGTGACACCCTGCTGAGCAAACGCGTATGCTGTCAGAATCAGGGTGTTAGGATTCGGGTCAGTGTGAGTGGTCTTTTCTATAGAGGATCTCGGAGGAGAGCTCTTGACAGGCTGATGCACCGGCAGCTGATTCCAGATGATTGACTGGCAGATCTTTAAGAAGCGGAGGAACAGTCACTCATCGCTCGATGGTCCCATTTCGTTGGTCAGAGTCAACCCTGAATCCATGCTTAGATGTTTTTTGAGAGGACTCAAGTAATTTTGTGTCTGCTTTCAGGAAACGGCGAGCCGCCGGGAACAAGCCAAGAACCACGCCTGGACATTAAGATCCCTCCTGCCGAAGCCAAACATCTCCCGGATCCTAGCCCTCCCCTTCAAGCTACGGCCACACGAAAGACAAACCCAAGCAGAACCCCCTACCATCCTGTGGGACTTAATTTGTACGAACCATCTACAATTAAAAAAACCTTTTCACTAAACCGGTGTTGAGAGTACTTGCATGTGGGTCAGGAAACTTAAATCCAACATGACACAGGGAATATTTTCCTACGAGGGGAGTGGCAGAATCAATTTATCCCAGCTTGAGTCACTGTCAGTGTTGTGACATTATTCTTACCCTTATTAGCTCTTGCTTTTGACAACTTGTCCTGGAAGATTACTGCCTGGAAGGAGAGCAGGGGCAATTAAAATCCAGCAACACTTGGGGAAAAAAAAAAGAAAAAAGGTTGTTTATTTGCCTTGTGACGCAACGACAGAACCGGAGTCGTCTTCGTGAACCGAAACACAGCGAGTAATTTGTTATCTGAATTCTTTATCATCTAAAATTGAGGAAATATCATCAAAAGCATGAGAATTTAAAACTCAGCATCCGCCTTTCCGTTGTTTTACGAAGCGGACAATCAACTTTAAAGCACTTTTCTGACGCTAAAGCAGCCACACTTCTCTCAAAGGCGCCACCATATATGGATGGATAAGTAGCAGAGGGTTACAATCTTTTATCTTTGTAAACAGAAAACAATGAGATTTTCAAGAGCAGCTTCTTTATGGCAGCACAGAAAAGAGCATAGTGACTACATTTACTGTTTCAGAAGATGAGTGGAAGAAAAAAAATCGGTAAGTTTTGTGAACGTAAAGCGGACAGATTTCACCTCATCTCAACCGGAATCAAATTTTTTACTTTTTCTTTGAGAGACAACTGCTCTACACACCGGACTCCAGTCACGCTCTCCAAATATTTCCCCCAGACAGAAACCCATGATAATTAGCTGCATCAACTACTCGTCGTATCAGAGGGCAATCAAAAAGCAGATTAGATATCATCATATCCACTTAATGACTTCCTACTAGATCAAAATGACTCTTTAGGGCAAAAATAACACATAAGAAAACAGATGGAAAAACATGTCCTTGAAATCCCGTCCCAACATCAAACACAAGTAAATCTTGGACTAAGAGATTTTCAGCTGCTTCCATTCACCTTCATTAACCAGAAACATTGTTAATGCTTGTTTGCATGGCAGAATGAATTATGATTTAAAGGCAAATCAGTTTTATCAGCGAGCTTTAAAATTCCTGAATCCAGTGCCGGACAGAAAGGTCTCTAGTTTGTCCAACTCTCCTGCTCTCACATTCAATCTGGGAACTTTGCTGTCACCATTTTTGTCTTGACCACTGTCTTATGCACTGATGTCCGAGTTTATCGTTTCACTCTTTTGCAAACTTTGCATTCCCACCTGCCCTAAACTTTGATTTTTTTTTGTTTTACTTTTTTTTTATTAGTTTGGCATGGATGTAGGTATAAATCTCATCAGCTACAAGCCAAGACAATTATGAATACAAAGCTCCAAAGACAGTAAAAAAAAAAAAAAAGCCTTTTAAAAAATTGTGTTAATTTTTTAGTATTTCTACGTGTGCCTGGCTGCTTTTGAAGAAAGCCGGGGATTTGATGTGAAACACAACGTGAAGCCTAATTACGCGCAACAAAATGAGACAACTCTCGACAGCAGACCAAAATGTAGGCTCCATTAAATTTCAGTAGCAAGTTCTAAAAAAAAAAAAAAAAAAAAAACGGTGTTTCATTATGTTAAACGCCAAACTGGATCGCACATCACCGCAGGAGAAGCCACTCAAAATAATAATCAGCGCTCGGGACGGCTGTATGTATGTCAGACCGGAGAGCTCAGGATGAAAGGCCCGACTCAAGAGCTCCTCGAGAGACTTCACTGACACTTCCAGGTCGATTTAGGGAAAAGGCCAGAGTCAGAGCTCGTTGATAGCGCCCCCATGTGTAATCTCAAAGCGCATCTCACTGGGAGTTAACTGTTCTTTCTTTCTTTTTTTTTTTTCTTTTTTTAAATCAAATTTGATTTACATCTAAGCTCACTAAAAATGGTTTCTAATGTCTGCAACGTCCAAATTGTAGCTCGGTTTTACACGGCGAACAATACGGACGCATTCAGCCGCCGCCACATTAATTAGACTCATTCAGACAGATTATTTCTGAGTAATCCTGCGATGTTTATTCTTCTGATCCGTGGGTGGCGCGGCGCTGTTGATTCTTAATGGCTCTTACGCAGTTGTTATACGTTCATGTATGTTCTAAACATCGTCGGCAGCCTCCAGACGGCGGCCATGCTTTCAGCCTAATGATATGCAGATTGCTTTTCTCTTTGAAGCGCTTGTAGGGTGTGTTGCCCACAGACCGCCTGGCCGTCAGCACGGCGTGTTCCTGACCTACATTAATAAATTCAGTTTGATTTCAGACAGTGTTTAACGTGGTGTGCGATTTAAAAATAATGAAAATAGAGCTCCTTTTTTTTTTTTTTTTTACTTACTGTTGATATACATCTTGACAACCTCAAGTGTGTCCATTTTATGTAGACGACAACACAACGAGCTTTTAAAACTTCTAGTGGATGTTCATTCAGAAAGCAGTGAGACAAATGTATGTCCTTTAAAACAGTGTAGCTCTGCCTGAAAAAGAATAGAATAGAATTCACCAGCTTTCTGTGAGATTACCTATGACCAGACAAAGGATTGAAATGAGAATGAGTGAAACATTCAGGAATCTGTTTGACTGATGTCAGAGGAACTGTTGCTGTACTTCAGGTAAAGCAGATACAGAAGATGATTGGGGCCATTAAGACCACTGAAAAAAAAGAAAAGAATTCTGACTTTCATCTCAGAATTTTGACTTTTTTTCCTGAAATTTTTCTTTAATTTTCTGAGATCAAGTCAGGATTTTTTTCTTTTTTTTTCAGTGACTCTAACCCTTTTCCCAAGGCATGAGATGCCGTGTGTCCAGTATGTCTTTATACCCTCATTGTGTAATTGTATTATTTACCTTTTGTTTTAATGGAGTAGGAAGAAGTTGAACCTTAATAAAAAAAAATAAAAAATAAAAATACACCATTGCCTTCCTTTGATTTTGACATAGTTTTACTAATTTTCTTCCCTGAAAATAATTCAGTGGCAACTCTAATTTTTTTTTTTATCAGCCCTGAGATTTAAATGTTGCAGGTCTGACCCAGTGCTGGCATTACTTGATCTCATTCCATGTTATGCAGACATTCTGTCTGCACTAATGAAGATTGGCTCACTTGAACATGCGGAATGGCTGAATCTAATCTACTATCACTTTAATTTGTCTAACATTTGTGATGTTATTTGGGAGAAGTCTTTGACATTTCATTTCCTGATTGTAAGCCAACTCTTGCATCTGCAAAACATAAACAAAGTCGGACACCTACACCAGAGTTATATACAATATGCGAGCATCTATGGTAAAATGTTCTGTTGTTAGAACATGTTGCCTTTCTATTTTTACATGGTAAGCAACGTGTTACTTATTGCATAACTTACAGAGACGTGTAAAAGGCAAACTTTTTGTTGTCAATATAAACCAGTAGAGGAGACTGTAACCTCCTGCAGACTGTGAGCACTGTAAAGTTACTGCCTTTTCAAGCCTGTACTTTCATTTTATATTTTATATAAATGGGTAATAACTAATCAGATAATGACTATTCTCTTCTGTTCCCCAATGTCAAAGTTCCAATCGGACAATAAATCATGCCAATAATGGGCTAACAGTCATGCCTCCAACTGTAAATGCACATTCAGTTTTTTGACACTCTTTTCCCTCCTTCCAATGAAAACGTTTTTTTGTGAATATTGCTCTTTTTTCTGTATGAATGTGTCTTGCCTCAGATCAAACGGCATCAAAGCCTTTCTTCAGGTTAGGCCCACAAGCTCAGTGTCACAAACAGCTGGTGGTCCCGAAATGTTCTGCTAGAAATGAAAAGAAAACAATGAGTGACGCTCCATGGCAAGAATATCGTTCCTGTAGAAATTGATCTGCTCTGTTATTTAGCTGTAAAGTTCACGCACACGAAACTCCAAGGCGAGAGGAGATGAAAGGGAAACGAGGCACAGGAGTAAATGCAACAAATGCTTTCTTCATTTTTGTTTTACTTTCTTTTTGTTGGGACAAGTCGAAGGAACATCCCGGGTGGAAAGGCGACGCCGTGCGTCCCACTAGGAATTGGACTTTGTAGCGTGTCCTTCAAAGAAGCAGGTGTGTGATGACTCAACACGAGCCAACGCAGAGCTCCTTGAACAATACACAAACTGTACATCGGCCTCTGTTCTTGCACCAGTCGACGTTTGGCACCGCAAAAACTCAAGGACGTCGTTTATCAAGGTCGTTTGTTGATTGTATGTGTGCTTCTCTTCCATGCCGACATCTATCCTTCTCAGTCTTTTAAAAGGAGTCAGACCTGTCACCAGCTTCATTTCTCCTAGCATGCGAAACATGATGCAAAGAGAGATGAGAGCAGCTGTGAAGAAGAAGACGTAAAAACATAACAAACATAATCACACACATTTATACGCCAGAAAGACGTAACCTAAGAAAACGCAGACAGCGGCTTTAAAATGATGATCTGTTATTAGGGGAAACAAGCCGCTCTGACAACTGTGTGTAGAAGTAATTTCCCTCTAAACCTAATAACTGCTTCTGTCACCCTTCAAACAACCGCAATTACGGATTCGCGAGAACTGACAATGAGTCCTTTTTACATCTCTGTGGAAGAATCTCCTGTGCAGAGAGACGCCTTATTTCAGCCGCAGCGTAGAGTTTTCAGAGCGTGAACAGTTTTGTGGGGGGGGTTTTAATAGAAAATTTCAACTGGATTCCGAATCGGGGTAAATATGTCTTCACGGCACAGAAATATTTACCCATTTGCTGCCGGAGGTTTTGCAAAGACCTCTTCCCTCTGTGAAGGAGGGAGAGGAGTTAGGGCAAAAAGATAAATAAATAAATAAACATAAAAAATGTCAGAGGCAGCTGGAAGCTTAACAGAGGCTTGAACCTGTTATTTTTTATCTGCCCATCACTTGTCAGTGGCAGGTAGAGTAACAAACACACCCACGTGTGGAATTGTAGTAGCAGACTTCCCACCCACCTTATTTCGATGATGGTAAGAAAAACATAGCATAAAAAAATACAAGCCTTTTCATGCATGCAAGTGTGGACCAGTGCGAAATGACTTTTGGCAGAGGTTTCTGTTTCCATCTGGGTGTATTATGCCCACAGTGCATACAAACACCCCGCAGGATTACAAAGCCACGACTGACACCAAAAGGAGTTATTGCCACAGACAACACCACACTCAGATTGTTTTTAAGCACCTTATTTGTGTATGTGGATTTTCTCCAGTTGCTCAACTGTATACACATTTAAGTATCTTGCTGTCTAGTTCAACTCATTCCTTCCTCTTGACTGTTTAATTTGCCATTCCGGAAAGAATCATCTCAAAAAGAGTCACAGTTATTTTCCACTGATAGTCAAATCCTACCTTCGCTCTGCTCGGCTCCGACGCTGCTGCTGCTTAAGTTCTTCTAATATAAAGAAAGGAATGCAGGACGACATCAATTTGACTGAACCTCCGACTTTATGTACCATTTCTGCAGCTATGGTTACAGTGCTGGAGAAGGAGTCAACTTTGTCGAGACTTGAATAGAAGCTGTCTGACATGAAGATCATGGTTCAAGAAGGGCATCCTCTGTGCCAATAGGAGGAGAATGAATTTAAATTGCAGACAATCCCCCTTTGGGTTTTTTTTTTTTTTTTTTTTTTTTTGTCATGTCAAAACTGCAAACTTCAATGTATTTCTTTGGAATTTAATGTTATACACCATCGGCATTTTCTTTTTAATCTCACGAATGAAATTCTGAAATACGTCGTGCATTTCTATTCAGCTTTGTAAAACCTATAGTTTGCTGAAATGACAGCTGGAAGTTTTGGGGTCTCCGCCGGCTAAATGTTGCCACAGAGATCACCGGTGTCACCCACCGATAGCTTAATGGAGTTTGGCGTTTCTGTCAACGGCTTGTTTTTACAGGCGTCGCCGCTCACGCTGTCGGCCGCAAGAGTAACTTTGTCAAACGTACCTCCGTTCATCAGTAATGGATTTTTGATCAAGGAGCTGTCTCGACATGGCAAGGTGATGTCACCCATTGAGAAAGTCCCATCAGGGTGAAAGTCACCACTATTGAAACATGTCGTCTCTCACAGGAGACAACTTCTCACCTCATTAAATCGACGTGACGAGGAGCTTAATTTGTGCTTTCATGTGAGAATAGATGAGCTTGATTACATCTTGTTTGCAACATCCTCAAACATCTATATCTATATATAGATATGTTAGCCCGCCCTTCAAATATCACCATCAGCCGCCACTGACAAGGGGGTATCAGGTTTAACAGATCAGGAAGTCTTAAACCAACATCCAGCGCTTTGAAATAACGATCCGTCGCTTTGCGGTTGTGCCAGAGCCTCTGAGTCGACATTTGAAAGACAACACAACACGAAGCTTTTGCTGAAGACTTGGCCTCTTTCTGTCAATGAGGCGAAGGCGGAAGCTGTGGGCTGTCATAAAGAAATCACACAGGGAGGGAAAGTGTCGTGTGCTCTATGTGGGAGCAAAGGGTTTTATTAAAGGTTGGGAAATTGCTTCAGCTGCGAGGTGAAATCGTATTTAACCTACATAAAACTAGCCTTTTTGTCCCCTCCCTCGCATTCCAGTTAGTTTTTATAGAGATATGACATAATGAGTGCTTTTTAGACTTTTTCTTTTTAACCCTTTCGATTTTGAATGTTTACACTGTGTTTTTTTTTTTTTACAGGAATAATCACTTGTACTGTACAGTCTTAAAACATACATTCATATCAACAGTTGTGTCAAAGACCAACACAATTTGCTGGAAATTCAGATGGGGGTCCGGGAGTGGATTTTCTCCGAGACGTGAAAAGAATGAGGACACTTTGTTTTGTTGCTCGTCTTTTAATTGGACAAATAGTTACTGAATGTCAATTTGAACAACTCTGAAAAGTGAAGTGACATAAATCAAATATAGGGTTGGGATATTTGTGTTTTGTTTTTTCTTTTATGTTCATCTGCCTGTGTTCATTGTTAGCGTATTTGGTGACAGGCGTTACCAAATGAGTTAATTCCTTTGTGTTTAGTTTCTTTGTTTACTCTCTTCTTATCTTTGTGTGTTTAGATTTATGTGTCTTACACGTATTTTTCTTTTCCATTGGTTTTTTCACTTCCTTTGCGTTAGCTCGTCTCTCCCCTGTTCCCCTGCTCTCAGTCGGCCGCAGCTGTTCCACATCTCCTCTGATTAACTCCTCTGTCACTTTCCACCACAGTGTTTAAGTTGTTTTCTTCTGCCCACCACAACCTGCTCTCTGCTGCTCCTCTATTATTACCTTGTCGTTCAACATTAGACGATCGTGTTGCCACAGTCGGTCTCTGAACTTGGAAACAAACTGATGAAAACACCTTTTAAAGTTTTCCTTAAGATGCAATTAAGGAAATCAGCTTCAGCTGAGGAATAAATTAAGCCGCACCCCCTTTTCATGTCACTTAAAACGAATACAACCAAACGTTACATCAGGTAACAACTACTCACTCAACATTGTGAAGGATGTTTGCTACGTTTCAACCGCAGACATTTAATTTGGTGCTTCTGACTGTTGAAGGGAGTCGACGCCAAATGTGTGTATCAAATGTGCGGAAGATGCTCTGCAGGTGGAAAACGTTCAGAGCAACTGCCTCAGTCTGGTTGTCTAAGCAAATGTAGTTAAAGAAACGAGATTCAGGTCCTGATGCCGCTGAGATGCTAAGGGGAGACTTGAAACAGGCTGTAAATCCCCTCAGAGTGGGGCAAGCTTTCTTCAGACTGCTGTCAGGCTCTGACAGATGGCTACAAGTAGCTTCTCACTGAAGTTATTTCAGTAAAAGGGGGTAACACTGACAAATACATGGGTGGAGGGAGGGGCATCCTAGTCTTTGAGATAAACAAGTCTTTGCATGTAGGACATCTTGTGACCCTGTCCCTTTGTGGATGAAGATGCAGAACGTTTTTTTGCTCATAGTTGCCCTCAATGACGCGGAAATCTATAGTTAAATCTCCAAACGTAAGTCTGTAATCTATTGCTCTTTTATTAACACAAACAAATTTGAAACGGTGAGTACTGTAGATGTTGTTTTTCAGGAATGGTAAATTAACTAAATAAATAGATTGCATAGATGAATCATAAAACAAGACATAAATACAGATCTTGTTTTAGCTAAAGCACATTTCCTTCATTAGAGTTACTCCACCGGTCCAACCTCCGCTGGTCACGTCAGCTGCATTTATTATGGTTCTGCGCACGGTTGCGTCACCCATATAAGGAGTGACGCAAGCTTCACACCGGGCTTCGTCCGATATTAAAAGCGTCCGCTCTTTGTGGACACGTATCAGATTTCCGCCAGAAATCCTTAAATTTGCAATTCTTGGGCAAATTTAATCGGCGCTGCGGGTGGAATACATTGCGAGATCTGAATACTGGCTTCACATATAAATAAAACGGAGAGGAGTTCACGGGTTGGCGATAGGAATCAGCCCACAGTACGCCGGGTAATTGACTGTCAGAACTTGGCAGGTCCCTACGAAGTCGCGCTGCTTTTGTCCTCCACGTTGATGTCGCTCACGCCGTGGACCTGTGTGAGCTGCTGGCAGTCCAGAGAAGCCAGTAATTTCCTCGGTCCGGGAAGGGTGGGGACGAAGTGCTCCGTGAAGGAGACGGAGGCATGTCCGCCGATATCTCTGCAGGGAGAACAGGAAATGACAGTAGCAGACACAAAAGGGGGAAGAGACACCAGGTCATTAAAAAAAAAAAAACACCTCAGGACCGATATTAAGTTTATGTTTCTCCTGACTCACGCATAGGGAATCTTTTTCCCAGGTAGGAGGCCTATTCCTTCCAGGTGAAAAATCACTGCTTTCAGCACCACGGGTAGAGGGTTTGTGAAAGAAATCTCCACTTTCATCTTCTGCCCCACCACCGCCTTCCCAACCGGCTGCGTGACGATGAAACAGAAAACACGACAAAATCAGAGCTGGAACTCCATCTCCTGCTGCTTTGGTATAATTTCCTGGCTTTCTGTGGAGTTTTTTTTTTATTTTTGTTGTTGTTGTTTTTTACCTTTATAACGAGGTCTGGGGTCCTGAGTCGGAAGCTGAACTGGGTCGCCAGGACTTGTTGTGTTTCTCTAACCCTGGCGGAAAGCGTTAGCATCAGGGCAGCCTGATCTACCAGCTGGTTCTTGTACGTGTCATAATTCAATTCCCAAGCCAATTCGTTCACTGTATGCAAAAAAAAAAAAAAAGAAAAAAAAAAAGAAAGAAAATAGGGCAGATATTAGAGAATGTTTAGGTTGGCAGGCGTCGGCGTCTCAAGATGGTGGAATTAGTTGTTTTTGGACGAGGAAGTTTAAATGATTTATTCCATCAGTCCTGTTTGTGTAGAGCTAGCGAGACGACAGACGGTGGTTTTAACTTTTTCGCTGCCTTGCAGAGATATTCAAACATCTTAAACTTTCTTTTGCATCATGTCTCATTGTAAACCAACACTAACTAGTGGTTTATATATATATATATATATATATATATATATTTTTTTTTTTTTTACAAAAAATAATCAGGAAAGTGCGGTGTTGCATATTCAGCCTCTTTGGCTCACACTCTGCCGAAACGCTTTTGCTTCAATTCCACGTATGTCTGTACCACGTTTGTCTTAGCGCTGTAGTATTTAACTTTTATAAAAAAAATATGTTTTCTACACTGTGTAGTGACAGGAAATACAATAGAGCTCCTTTGGCTTTTCCTGGTGTACTTTGATAAAATTGCACAGTTAGATTTATGAAGACAGTTCCTCACTTTGAGGATATCAGAATGCCGAATACAAATGCTGATTACACTTTTCAGATTCTTATTTTACAACATAACATATTACAGCCTTTCTTCAATTTCTACTTGTGTTGGGATATTGTGCATACAAACAAATGAAATGAAATAAGTTAAAGGTTTTGGTTGCAATGTGCAAAAATATGAAAAAGTTCAAAGAATACTTTAGTGAGGCCGTTTGCGAGGAGCCCCAGCTGCTCACCCTCATTGGGCAGAATCTCCTCGTCTACTGTGTCCTTCTTCACCGTGTCCTTGTGGACTCCGGTGTAGTACATGACGGCCAGCTGGCTGTGCAACGTAACGGTGCGCAGCTCCGAGCTGACGTTCCTCAGCCTGATGGTCAGCTCTGCATTCTCCCCCATTCTGGGACCGTCACCCTCCATGATCACTTCTAAAGAGATGTCTTCCGCTGTTGGAGACGAGTAGGCGGCTGCTTTGGAGCCGTAGCTGCAGGCGGTTTCCACGGCAATACGTTCCTCCTCTGAGCCTGAAAAAAACACACACAAACAGTCATTTAGAGCAAATTCAAAATAAACTGATTATGTGCCGTGACAGCTTTGGAAGTTGCTGGAGTTATTGCATAAGATTGTGTCATAATTTTTTTGGTTTTACCTTCTGGGTGTTTGTAAAGGTGTGTGATGTCCTGGCGTTCGTCTGAGCCCACGGCCTTGGTGCTGATGAAGCGACCCACAGTGTTCTTCTCGCTGTAGATCTGACTGAAGGTGCCGTCTTTGTTCTTCTGCCAGTATATTTTATCACTATTCACCTGGAAGAGGCGTGGGACCAGGTCAGTCTTTCAGTCATTCCTAAAATATTACGAGACAAAATTCCTCTGCTGACTGAGAATCTGACAAACCTCAGCGAACACAAAGGCGCAGTCGTGCTTGAGGTAGACCTGACCATTGCGGATCGCGCTGAGGGAAGCCGGGCCGCAGCGAAATATGCCCTGGCTGGTTTCCTGCGGCGTGGCATCGACGGTTTGCCAGCCTCCGTTGCCAGGAGGCAAGTCTGGACGAGACATCCAGCAATCGGTCCAAACGTGGAAGTTCCTACGGAAAAAAGAAACGGGAAATGGTCTAAACTTGGAGGCTTTTGTTGTTTTCTTGAACCCCTGTATGTCATGAACTTTGGCGTACCAGATAGAGTCTGCATTAAGGTGTTCTATCGGCTCCATTTCCTCGTCCAGGTAGATGTCAGTTGTCAAGGAGATGTCGGTATCGTGCGCCGAGCTAAAGTTGGTCACCGTTCGAGCAGGAATGCCTAGACAACGTAACACTGAAACGGCACACCGACGGTTAGCGTCTGTTAAAGACGGTCTTGTTGGAACATCAAACCAAAGACGCATCAGCTGACCTGTAGTGAAGACACCAGCAAAGACCCAGCACTGGCCGTACTTAACGGGCGTTCCCCTGCTTTCATAGTACTGCTTCAGGATCTCCACACTTCCACTCCACACGGTGGGAGACGTTCCCTGTGAATAGTCTCCTGACCAGTTTCCTTCCAAAACACCGAGGTCATCGGGAGAGTTTACCTAGAAACCAAGACATAATTACGATTTATTACGATGCAGTGCGACTTGCGCACAAACCATCACAAGTGCTTCTTTGAGAACTTCATCTAAACGGTGCCGTTTTTCTTTACAGGAGAAACAGAAGTGAGCGCAGCTCCATATTGATGTCTTTGAAAACACTCCATTTTGGGAGTGAAAGAAAGATGTACACAAGGTTTTTCTTCAGAGGTAAACCTTTGATATTTTTTGATGAAAAAAGAAAGATGAGAGCTGGCTGACTGCTGTTTCACTTTTAAGTACACACAGAAAGTCTTTGTGGGGATCCATTATTGATAACGCCTGCCTTTCCAATGCCTCTAAACATGACTGTGATATGCAATTTGCTTTAAGCATAATATAAACTGAAATCCCCAAAACCAAAAGATTAAATAGAGTTTTGTTGTTTTTAGGCGATTTTTCAACTCCAACAAAGAGGCCGATTGATAAGGCTGCAACTAAATGCATTCGTTCACTTCTAATTTTTTGTTCAGAACGAAACATTAGCTTAGCAATTAAAATAACAGCTCAGATGTTGTCTGCAATTTAAATCTGCTGACCAGCACAAACACAGAGTTAGCGCAATGAGAAGAAAGTGGAAGTACGGAAGCATTTTTTGCAAGGAGTTGATATCTAAACAAAGCGCAGCGACACATTTGCTGTAACTAATGTCATGTTTTGCTGTCGGACTAAATGACAAAAAAAAAAACGTCTTAGTTGTTAGCATGAAGAACAGAAGCAACGTTGTTTACCGTTAAAAAACAAAAAGAAATTAAATTATATGAGATTTAGAAACGCTCAAAAGGTAATGTTGTAATTCATTATTAAAACAGCTGCGATGCACAAGAAAGGTAAAGCTTATTTACCAGAATTACATGATTGTTTGCCGTTGACTGCTTAATCAATATGCACCGCCGGAAGCAGCACTTTGATGTGCAAACTTGTTCACGAGCTAACACGAGGATGTTTGGGACTTATATATATTTTTACATGAATTTGATGTTGCACACTAACAGGCTGAGCTTGTTGATTGAAGTAAACATTCTGAAAATTAATACGAATGTCATAAAAAATTAAGAGTTTTCACATGAAAATGTGTTTTAAAGAAGCTGAGATGTGGATTTGGTGTAAAACTGGAACGACGTCATTTTAAACCCCGATACTTAAATCTGAAGCATAGCAAATTAAGAAAATTAACAGAAACTGAGCATATCAATCCCTTATGGAGGTGCTGAAGAGAGACTTTTATTGTCCTATAGTCTAAAGTTAAATTGTAGAGTAGCACATTTAACATTAAAGTATTCAGATCATCGGGAGAAACATCTCTCCACAGGAGACAAGGCTGCAAAAAAAAAAAAAAACCCTATTCCAGGCTTGGATCTTTCAGCCCTCGGGCAACCTCGCTTTAAAAGGAGACAGGATTGTGAAGTGGAAATCACTCCTCAGGCTCAGAAACACTTCTAGAAACCCGGGGGAGTGAATCTCACTGTTATTTTCAACCGCATGTTAAATCTCTGCCCTGCAAAGAACAAAAACTGGCAAAAAAAAAAAAAAAAAAAACCCCCACATGTACACTGTTTCTATATTGTTTCTGATTTATGTGGACGATGTTGTGACGTTGAACAGCCTCCTTCCTCTCTGTGCAGCAAAGAGAAGATTTTGTAATTCTTCACCCAATTCTTCGGCCTTCACACAATGAGCCAAAGCTTAAATACATACTTAGAAGGAATTTTCCACTTTAAAGCAGCAGATTTATTTTTGCATAAAACGGAAATGGTTGTTGGTTTGGTTGGAAGATGAAGGAGGGAACAGGTGATCGGCTCCTTCCTCACCATGGCTGAGATGATCCGCGTCACATTAACTGGGTCGCCCCAACCGGAGTTTGGGGTTCGACTCCGCTCCAACACGAAGAGGCACGCGGCGAGGATCCCGTTGTTAAACTGGGAGAAGGAGAGCAGAGGTTAGTTCTGATGGATTCCGCTCAACGCGGATGCTGCGTCGTCTTCCTCACCTGGCCGTAGTCCCAAGTCCTCTCTCCGATCTGAAGATCTGTGCCGTAGTAGATCCGTCCAACGTCGTTGAGGACGTACTCCTGCCTCTCCTCCTCAGAGTCCAGGAAGACGGAGTCATCTGGGAGAGCAAGTGGGGACAGTCGTCCAAAAACCGACATTAAAATAAAAAAACGACCAGAAGCCATTTTAGTTTTTATTTGGCCAGGAAGTAGCAAATATGGTAACAACTCCCTCCTAACCACGTTGCCTCGCGTCCGGGCAGATTAAAAGCGTCATTTTTTTTCATGTTCAATCTGAAGGCGCCGCATTTTACGCTCCAGTTCGACTGGGAGCTTTTGTTTGAATTATTGCCGAGCAGATGTCCTAATCATGCATTAAAAAAAACAAACAAAAAAAAAAACACCGCCTCCTACATGTTTGTTCAGAGATGTAGTGCTGTGACTGAGATGACATGAAAAGCTTTTAAGATGCGCGGCACAAAACAGATGTTATTTTTGCGAACATTTTTATTTATTTATTTATTGACAAATTTAAATTTCTGACCAACTAATGAGTTTTATTGGGATTTTATGTAGTAGAGTGCACTTGCAAAGTGGAAGGAAGAGGATTCATGGTTCTTAAGTGGATTAAGGTCTAGACTTTGACTGGGCCACTCAAAACACACAAGTGTGTATTGATCTTATCTATTGATTTTTAACTTCTGGATAGATGCTAAAGGTGTTCGTCCTGCCGTAAGGTGAGCTAAAATGTTCTCTCAAAATGTCAGCATGTGTTTTACCCTTTCAATTTTTCGTTGTAAGAAAAGCATCCCAGCTGCATGATGCTGCCACCACTATGTTTTATATTCTCTTCATGTTAATCCACAGACCTGATGTTTTCTCTACAGTAGTTTTTGGCGTAATGCTGAAAAGTGACATGTTGATCCTATATCTAATAAGTAAAAGAACAGCTGCTTTTATAATATGGCATTTAACGCATTAATATCACATTATGCAGATTAATCGCATTACATATCTTGAGCTAAAAGCCTCTCTCCTGCTGAGGGTTCACTAGGTCACAGTCACAGTCTTGTACTGCGGTCAGAAACATGAGTGAAGAGATGAGAGAGGAGAATCAAACTGTTGAGCCCTGCAGCGAATTTCACTTTAAAAAAAAACACAGTGGTGGAAACTTGCATAAAACCAAGGTAGCATGTAGCCACAGGTTATAGCCGACATTTCAAAATTAACATTTAAAGCAAAATGACTTCTTTTAAAAACTTCCTTGACTATGAAATGTTTTCTTGAACATTTTTTAAAAATGTGCATATTTACATTTTAAGCTTAAAAAAAAAAGCTTAAAAAGTTACCGAATAATGATTAATTGTGATTAATCACAGCCCTGGAGTGTGATTAGTCAGATTAAATGTTTTAATCCATTTACAGCCCTTGTTTATCCTGAACTAAAGGAAGCATGATGCTGATGCCACGACTTCTAGGCAACTTCCTGAAGCAGTCAGATTCACTAGATTTCATTTAGAACGGTCACAGTCAAGGAGAATGAACACAAAAGAGTTTCCAAAATATGTTTGTGAAATGTTCTGAAAGCCAAGCTGATATGGTTAGTTTATCACAAAGTCTACAGAAATTAGTGGTACATGGACTGAACCTGGAGGGTTTGGAGTCACTTCATCCACCGAGTCCGTCTGTCATAGATTACCTTCACACCAGGGGTTGAACAACATGTAGATGTCATTGGCGGGGTCGTGTCTGGAGGTGGCTGGGCCGTTGGCGCAGCTTGTTTCCACGGTGAGCTGGTACCTGCCCACGACGGCTGTGGGCGGCGAATTCACAGACAGCTTTAACCTCCTGTCGTCCCGCTGGACGACCGCGGCCTCCCAGCGACCGTCCTCCAGGTCCTCCACCAGAGGGACGATGATGTGGGTTCCGTTCGACACCGCAGGGAGGGGACCTGGGCAGAAAACAGCAAACGGACATATATGTGAATGGTGTGAGGGACCGAGTGACATGTTGGAACAGAATCTGAGCTTTTGTTTGGCTCAGGAAGGCTGCTTTTGCTTTTGCACCCCGACTGAAGCCACACCTGAATACCTGCTGGGTTTGAATCAACAGAAACCAAACAGGCAGGAAACTGAACACACACACACACACACCTGATGAGACAGTTTTACCTCAGACCTGCTCTGCCAAAGTTCACAGAAGACATTAGTTTTCTCCGTGTTGGTGTCATTGGAGATTATTGATCTGTTAAAGCTAATTCCTCTTCTCCTTTGACATTAAATTATATAATGCTGCATTGACAGCTGATAGAAACGTAGCGTTTCTTCCTCTTCTCTAACAAATCCCCTCACAGGTTGCAGGTGCAGAGTGTGAAAAAGCTGCAGCTTCCTGTGATCTCCGTCCTGTGGCCTCGTCTTAATTTGCTGTTCTCAAATACCAAAACAAAACCTGTTTGCCGCTCCGGTCAGGAAACGCCACATTTCTCCTCGGCTCCGGTCATGACCAGACGGGCGACCGATCGGACGTCAGGAATCGGGAGACTGCTCGCAGTAGCACGAATAAAAAAAACAAAAAACAAAGGGAGCATCCACTGTGTCTGAAAACACATCGAGCTGCCGACTCGCATCGAAACGGCAGCTGGCTGTGCACCGCCGGGCTCGGCACCAGAGATGGGCTCTCTGGTGGAAAAATCTTTAAAACGGACACTGGATACTGTAGAGAAGCAAGCCGGTCGATGCCACGGCCCAGTCAGCATGGTCTGAATACGCAGAATATGAAAGGTCAGAGTTTCCCTGCAGCATCTGAACAGGGCTCTGAAATCCAAACGTATTCAGTGCCCCAGGAAAAACTTGCACACCCCCTTAAACTTTAGCATGACTTCTGAACCGCACAAAATATTTCCCCATCTGTATTTTAATTAAAATTTTTCTTGGTTAAAAAAAAAAGTAGAAAGAAAGTTATTTTCTTCTGTTTCACAATAATAATGCATTATGATATGTGTAACGTGTGTTATCTTTATTATTATTTTTTTTATTACCGTTGGTTGATCCAATTTTATTTGTAAAAAACAAATACAATTGTCAAGAAGGTTAAAAATGCACAAGGTGTTGAAAGAAGAAAATTCAAAATTCTTTGAAGATGAGAGGAAAATGTGATTTAAAGTCTGTGCACGAGTTTGTGGAGGGATTTAGATGATGAAATGTCTGAAAAGTAAAACAGTGCCCATTTAAAGAGAAAAGTATAACAAGTAAGGTGTTTAAAAATGAATGAGAGGGAGGCAGGGTGGGTGCTGAGCGGCGTACACACGGGCATGACTGACAGCGCTAAGACCCTCCTCTTGGCCCTGATTGGTTGTTTCCGGCTGGCACTGAGGGAAGGCAGAGGTGTTCACGTTTTTCACTGCTCATCTGTCTCATATTAGGTTGTCACGACATAGTGACAATTTCAACAAAAACGTAAAAAAAATATTTTTATAAAAGTTGCTGCAGCTTTAAGCTCTGATCTGTAGATTAAACAGCAGATTTGTTGGTGCATTGATGTACATCTACATATCTATATGTATATGTTATTATGTATGTGTTGAATTTGTAGTTTCATTCAAAGCTTTCATGAAGACTTGGGACGGAACCGGAGAAGCCTCTTCGATCACCTTTTGGTTTTGTTTTACAAAATATGTTGCTGGAAATTTTGCTACTAATGTTTTTTTCTCCAATGTGGAAAAAAAAGGTAGTTCAAATACCACAGTGGCTTCTCAGTAAACCAGGTGCTGCATGGTTAAAATCTCAAAGTGTTGATGGGAGACGTGCCATCAGACCATTCCTCCTGACATTCAGCAGTGCTTTCCTGATAGCAGCTGAAGGCTACAGACGATTACTTATCCCATCTATCGAGCAAAACTGTAAATAAACTACAGCCAGTAAGCTTTCTTCACACACACACACACACACGCACACACACACACACACACACACACACACACACACACACACACACACACACACACACACACACACCTCTAAAGCCCAAATGCCAGCTTTGCATACAGCTATACCTTATATCTTCACTTCCCGTCTCATAATCCACTGACGCCACCATCGAAAGATTCAGAGCCGCGTTTATCTTCCCCAGGGCTGGTGGGTCCATTTTGTCCATGGCAATTTGTTTAAGACTCTGTAAGAGTGCAATCACAGCTCTCTCTCACTCTCTCTCTCACTCTCTCTCTCTTTCTCGCTTAAACCACGTCAGATATTAAGTGAAATTTGGAGCCACTCTGAGCTGTTAATGGGGGGTTTTCAGGCCTCTGAAAGCAGAACAGAACCAGGCGAACATTTAGCTGTCAGAGGCTTTCACCTGGGTTTTTACAAATAACTGTTTGTTTTCGACTCAGCCTGCTTTCTGCCTTCCTGCAGGGCGGCTTGTTTTCCAGAGCTGAAAGTGCTTGGAGTGAGTCCGGTCCGCAGCGGGTACAAGCAGGGAACAGAGTTTTGGTTGAACAAAAATCTGGTTGAATGAATAGCTTTTTTTTTTTGTCTTTTTTTTCTTTAATCACTTAATGTGGTTGATTTTGTACAAAGAAGTCCTGCACTTAGCTAGTTGGGATGATATTATCAATTTGTTTTATTTATTTTTTTATTTCATTCATTGGATTAATATGAATAGTTAATGCAACAACTAGAAGAAATCATGGATGAAAAGAAGCAGAAATGTATAAACTTATAACAGCTGCTGTCCCGTATTCACAAAAAGAGAATATTAGCTGTTCGATTCAGAAAACGATTATTTCCAATACACAAAAACATACACAACATAACATCGGCTTAGTCGATGCCACATCGCTCCGTCATAACGAGTTTCACATTTCCTTTAAATGCGGAAAGAGATATAAATTTCACTGTCAGTATTGTTCCATAAACAGACACCTTGAGCTGAAATGCATTTTTTCTTTTTTGTCTTTTTTTTTTTTTTTTTTTTTTTTTAAGTCTCACTTCCTTTTAAGCAAAAACCCAAGAAATAAAATAATCTACTTAAGTATATTTTGAACAGGCTGCATTTTTTTTAAAATAAAATTGTACTTTTATATGAAATATAAAAATAAAATAAAATATATATATATTTAAAAAAGATATATAGTATGTTTAAAAACGTATATTTACAATGCACACTTTAAAAATCTACCACAAATATACATATATATATATATATATATATATATATATATATATATATATATATATATATATATATATATATATATATATTTTTTTTTTAAACTTTAGTGTTTAGTTGTTTGTTTTTTTTCTGTTATCTCACACGTACTGTATATTTGATGTTGTCTGCTTATGACACACTTCACGACATGCTGCTAGCGACTGCAGGCTCTCAGCAACATGTCAGCACTCCTGCATGTTGTTTAAAGACATTTTGGTAAATAAGAACTAAGGGTTAAAATAAATGTGTAATCATGTCAGAGGGGAAAATGCAATGCATAATCTGTCCACTGAACTGAGCAGTGGACAGTAACAAACACATTCAATAAATGAAAATGTTATGGGAACTTCAGGAAGTTTATCCCATTATGTAGATTAATTACACGCAGCTGAAGGTTTGAAAGTCTTTATTCCTGTTAATTATGATGATTTTCTGCATACTGCTAATAAAAGCATGACAATTTAAATCAGAATATCAGATCAAACCAATTTCTACAAACAGAAATGTGGGCTTGATGAGTAAAGTATGTTTAATTCCTGGTTAAAAGCCGGCATTTTCAAATGCTTTTTAAATATTTTCAGATACTTTAAACCTGACAAACGAGACTTCAAGCTTATTGTGATAAACTTTGTAATTACTTACAGTCAGACGCACCAAAATGAACAAATGGCTCGTTAGCAGATCTCTGCAGAACCTTATGACACTCTGTTTGGTTTGGACAATTTATTTTACTTATTTCACTTCTTCTACTTGATAATCCATCATTTAAAAACATCTCTTTGTGTTTACTCGTGTTTTCTTTGTCTCATAGTTTTGCCTGGACTGAGAACAAAACCAGCATCAGCACGTTTGTTAAAACTCAACGCACAGCGATTAGCAGAAAAGGCATGTCGGTGCCAGACGCAGAAATTAGGATAATGTTTTATTTTTGCCTTTTCAAAGCAAACGATGACCACACACACACACACACACACACACACACACACACACACACACACACACACACACACACACATGAGTCAGCTGGTTAAACCAAGCTTCCCATATACGGAGGAGCTTAATTTTTTTTAAACACATTATACAGGTAAGAAAGCATAAGCGCCATAAAATTGGTCGTAGGTGAGTTCACCGGATTGGAACAAAAATAGATGGAAGGAGGGGAAGATGACTGAAAGAGAGAGAGAGAGAGAAAGAGAGAGAAAGAGAGAGAGAGAGAGAGAGAGAGAGAGAGAGAGAGAGAGAGAGAGAAGCTCCAGACGGGAAAAAGAAGAGAGAGGCAGAAGACTAAACAGACAACAGGCTGGAAGAAACAACTTCACTAAATTAAATCTGACTGGCCGTACAGATCGGCTAATTGCGTGAAATGCTTTGGGGAAAGAAAAAACGGAAGATTCGTTTTTCAAAAGCATTGCAAAAAGTACCTTTATCAGCAGTTTTTATCAGAGGGACGGATGAGACTGAGAACTCATCAACAAGGACTTCATATATATATATAGCTATATATGTATATATAGCTATTTATATAAAGTAAAATTGGCAAACAGGAAAATCAGTGGTTGTGTTATTTATTTATTATTAGTCTTTACATTAGTTTGTCACATGTTATTTACTAAACATGTCTTATCCTTAAAGGTACTTTTTTTTTCTTTCTGCCTGATCAGGACAGAAAGAGGACACTTCCTGAGTGACGTTGTCATAATTTATGTATAAAAGAGCAAAATTTAACTGAATCATTTTAAAAAATTTCTTCTGTTTTTTCTGAAAAACTAAACAAGAGAATGTTGCCATCTTTGGACAGATCCTTCCTTACAGTAGAAGACATGGTGTAATTACTCCCATCCAGCGTTCTGGCTGTAATTGAGGGCTCTATATCTGTCTGCAGTCAACACAAGGCAGAGGGAGGGTTAAAAAGAAAAAACACGAGCAGCTAGGTCCGCAACACCTGCTACTGGGAGCATTTCGAGCAGACATGCTGGGAAAATGGGGATTCTTGGGTCTGCAACACACCAAATAACTATCTTTAAAACCCAGGAGCATAGCAACAGAGCCGTTACCAATGGTAACCAAAAGTCCCCCTTCCTTCCTCTCCCTCTTCCCCTTTTATGTAAATCTACTGTATGTGGCAGAGTGTAGGTCCTTCTCCCTTTGTGCTGAAAACGTTCGATGTGCTGCAGGAATCGCGGCGACAAGCGTTTAATTCTCGCGCCGGTTTGTCAGAAGCCTTCTAAGTCGTGATGCGGCGTGTGTTGTGCAGCCATGTTTGTTGGTAGCGTCACGAATGCGAACAAATTGATGAAAACTTTATGTGGTTTGGGACGATTAATCGTCGTGGACTGATTATTGACATGATCGTCAACTGATTTAGTAATAGAGTAATCGTTAACAGGAGTATGCAGAGGCTCAAACATGGCCAAAAACAACATGACTGATTTGTAATTAAGCCAAAACTGATAGATTATAATTATAAGTAAAATTATAATTATTTACAGCCATTTTTTTTTAAAGTTGTTCCTTCTTACATATTCAAATCAAACTTTTCCTTTGATGGTTTACTTATGATCTGGGGAGAAACAAAAAGTTTATTTTACATTATATGGGAGCCATCCTGCCATAAATCACTGACGTTTCTACATCTGGATGAACACACAGGTCAGGCTGCGGCTGGATTGAACGCTTTTCGACGTCGTTTTGTCAGATTAAGATCTCGTCTCGGATTTTCCCAGAAACTTTTGTACTTGTCATCGTCCGTTTTGGTGAACGGTAGCCTGCCCTCTGAAGGCGTTTTGTCTTTTCATCCCCGCCACCTACACGGCTCAAAACCAGGCCGATTATTACAGGCGAACCTTAAACGTGGCGCTCAGCGTTAAGGGATTTGGATTGTTTTCTTCTTCTTCTCCATAGGATGGGGTTTGTTTAATTAACCCCGGGTTGAAATTACTTTTTGTGACCAACCGTCCCACATTTATCTGTTTGAGATAACGATCCATAATCTTCCTTCTGAGCTCCTTAAGCAGCTCTCGTCTGCCTTTGCTCCGGTTTGTGTTCAGTGTGCCGCGCGCCACGATGCCAGATGACCCAGCAGGAAGCTTGTTCCTTTTAAATGTCCTGAATCACTGATGAAAAGCTCGACGGTACCTGTGATACTAATTAACGTTAAACACTTAGTCTGAAACGTGGCTGGAATGCAAAGGCCAATACATCCATCCCGTTTATTAGCCTGTCTTTGTAAAATAAGCAAGGAGATGAAACTATGAAACATTAAAGACGTGAAGGTAAGCAAGTCTTTTTCTTTGAGCGTCGGTTCGGCTTTTTTTTTTTTGTGACGACCTCAAACAAAGTCATCTAGTTAAAAACGAAGGGTTGATATTGCCATTTTGAGTAAATGCATATTTTTTCCATCATAAATTTCACTTACTCCTTTGATGAAGTGCAGCTTACTCAGGCTTCCAGGCAGAAACCATATTTAACATGAAACCGAAAAAGATTGTTTATTTACAGAGAGTGGCATGATGCACATGTTTATCCATCTGGCATGGCCGGCCCAAGGTTGTGTGGGGGGCCTCGGGCTGAAGTTCATTATGGGGCCCCTCTTTGCGTAAAGAACAACCCGAGCAATAACTGCACTTTAATACAGATTTAATGGGATTTAGGAGAGGAGACCAACTTTATTTAAATGACGCAAACAAGTGATACAACTTAAACATATCGTGTTAATTTGTCACAAAGAATCAAATTAAATTTATCCAAGTAAATTTAAGTTGTCATGTTAGACATGACAACTTAATAAAGTTGTCATGTTTGTCACACTTATAAAGTAAGTGTGACAAACTTTATTTGATTACTTGTGACTAATTAACACTATTTTTTTAAGTTGGAGCTTCATTCTCTTTTTTTTTAAGTTTCTATTTCCAAGCTCCAATACAAATAAAATATGAAACGTATTGTATCCAATTGATCAGGAGATTATTATTCTTTGAACTTTTACAAGGTAAATTTGCCAAATTCCTAAATTAAAAAAAAGAAACAAGTTAAAATATTTAAATTCATCCATGCTGAAATGTGAAATAAAATGATAATATTATTTAACAAGTCTAAAAAAAAAATTAGATCTCTAGATCTAGTTGTAGTTCACTTATTCTTTGGGCCGGCTCTGTGTCTGTCTCCACCGCAGTAAATTATGATTATCTTATATTCTGTTCTAAATTACTAGATTAATTAGTCGGTTGATGACACTGAGCGTCCAGCCAACCAGAGGTTGTGGTTTACATCAAAGCACTCTCTTGTTTTTGGGAAGAAGAATGAGAAAAACAATAAATCAATAATTACAGCCGAGGGTGGTTCTACAAAATTATGACTCCCAGGGTGGAATATGAAAGCACTTTAACACTTTTTAAATTTGTATTTGTGAAAAACATGGGAAAACCATTTCCCTTTGTTTTGCACTTGTTTGTGTTGTTCTGTTGCATAAAATCCCAACGATCAATGTCGTTATTCGATGAATACGGTGACATTTGACGTTTTAATGTGACAAAAGTAACAAAAAAGAAAAAAAGTTAAATTAATAGTTTTGCTCACTATTAGCAGAAAGCATCTCGGATTGTTTATTATTTCCCGCAATTAACCGCAAAAAACAAAAGCAATTCTGACTCCCTCATTTAAGACCCTCTTAAATCTGACAGGGCTAGAAAATCACATCACAGATTTCTGAGCCTCAAGAATCATTATGGGGAGGAAAAATGTGTCTGCACCACTTCCTGCTTTGACTCTAAAACAGAGGAATTAACTGCGGAGCAATTGTAAGTGTACATTTTGTCAAAAAAAAAAAAAAAAAAAAATCAACTTTATGTCCATGAAAGTAATGAGCTGTTCAGTTGAAAAACATATTTTTTTTCTGTTAATGTTTCATCGTTTTCTTTGTCTCAGATAAAACACAAAGCAGTCAAGTTCATTTACGCCTCCACCGCAAATTAATTCACTTCTTGCCGCTGAGAGCCCGATCAGGCGGACATCTTTCATGTTTTGTACTGGGACGACAGTAACATTTTTTCCGATTCTTGTTGGGGAGACGGCATTTCTTACACAATCACCTCTTCTTGTCAACATCTCATTTGATTAATATATAAATTGCTTTGCATCCATGCTTTACGTTGTCCTCTGATACAACCTGATGTAGCTCAGCTGGCTCCAGGAGTCGCCACGTTGAGAATTTGCGTCCAAACCATAGGACGCATCCTCATGAAAGGTTTTAAAGAATCCTCTTTATTCGAATAGTGCAAACACTTTAACGTGCTGCGGTCTGCTTTAACGCCACCCAGATTATTAAGCAGTCATGAGATTCTTCCATTTATGTAAAGCCTGACTTTTTTTTATATGAAAATGATACTTGAACTTCTTTCTAATCTGACCCTCCCCTGCCTGCTGTCAGCAGAAACCTCAGCAGTCGCGTGTTGCTGTGCAGCACCAGCCAAGTTTCACATATGGCTTTTGAGGAGTCAAGTTTAAGGGTGGAGAACGCGGCTAATTAGCAAGCAGGGGGAGGGGGTTGTTTCTAACAGCGATGTCATTTTTAGACCGTTTTCCTCTTGTGAAATCCTTTTGCTGCTATGATCACATATGTATTTATGAACCTTGAGTTATTTCTTCTTGAATGTCTTTTTTTATTTGGGATTTCGTGCGATTGACAAGCAGAAAGACTAAAATAAATGGAAGTGGAGAATATTAGGATGTACGGTTTTCGATGTTTTCTTTACAAATTGATATTTGAAAAGTGTGTGGTGCATTCCCTTTAGAGAACCCATGTTGTCCAATCAAATCCTTCACAAGTTACCAAACCAGGAGTCTAACTAGACAGTAGAAATCTACATAATAATAAAAAAACCACATATACAAGGTTGAACATAGAAAGCAAAACGGTTCAACTTCTAGTAGCACCAAACTATTTTGTCAAAAAAATAAAAGGGAAATAATTTCATTCTGTAGTTGGTGGAGACACGAAAAGTAGCTTTGGGTAGTTCTGTCTCAGGAGATGATTGACACACTTCTCAGATTTTCATTGGTGGAAAATTCAAAACCATATTTTCTTTTTTCTTCCACGTTTCAAATTATGCATCATTTACTAAATAGGTGAAGCAAGCGGTTGTATTAGATTTAACTTAGAGGTATCAGAGTAAAGAAGGGTTGAACATTAGCACATAAAATTCAGTGTGCTACAGATCTCTTGCTACAATGTCGTAAAACAAAACAAAAAGTCCAAGTGGCTCAGTCGGTGGAGCTCAGGCACCAGGTGCAGAGAGTCAGACACGGTTGTCCTTGGCTTGACTCCCGGTCTCAGGCCGTTTTAATCAGGGCCAGTAGCGCCAAAAAAAATATTTTAGAAAAAGCCCTGAGTGACATAAATGCTTTAGACAAGGCGCTGCAAAAATCCCAAGTTCCCTTTGGGATCCGTGTCGTGGTTTTGAATTTAGAGTTTGGATTTATTCCACCAACCTGTTTTCAGCTCCAGATGAAGCTTGTCTGTGTTGGGGTCAAAAGGTCGAGATAAGGTTATCCACATCTGGAAGGTCTGCCCTCTGCGGATGACGAACTTGTCGCTCTGGTAGAGGTTGGTGTGATGCTCCAGCAGGTTGGCTCCCGTCTTGCTTTTCATCAGATCTATCGATCGGACGGTCAGAAGGAGTTCTGTGAAAAGCACACACACAAAAAAAAAACTTTGAAAGTTAAACTTGTGGCTGTGTATAAATTTTACTTTTTTTTTTTCATTTTAACTTGAGACGTGTGTTCTCATATTACCATTTAGATTGCCTTCCTCAGTGGTTGGCTTCTCTCCATTTCCCTCGTTCTCTTTATCTGGATCATCCACCCCGGTGACCACGGTCTCCGTGGCGTCGTCGTCATCTGCCCGTTTATAACAGCACGGACACGCCTTACGCAGCCACCGCAGACAGGCGCTCTCCTCGTTAACGTCATTCTCTGCCGGTTCCTCTTTTTCCACCTCCACGTCTTCCACAAACGGCAAAGTGACAGTTGGGAACCGACCGACGGCGGAGCTGTCTCTGACTGAGTGAATCACTGGTGGCATCCTGAGAAGAAGAAGAAGAAGAAAAACTCAGAACAGTTAGGTTTCTCTGAATGGATACTGCTGAGCATAATTCTCTTTGTGGTTCCAGGCGCAGCTGAATCTAAAAAAAAAAAAAAAAAAAGAATCATCACATCTAATTAAACTACAGCAGCTAACTATTCTAATTTATTGTCCAATTAATTTCTGCAGAGAGGAAATTGGCTTTCCTTCGGAGCTGCAGCTGAGTTTCGCTTCATTTTTAATTCTTTGAATCAACACATTATCCTCTGATGTGGACTGACAGCTTTATTACAGAAGACTCCCACACGCAAAATAAAATGTTTTCTCTGAGTGGAAGAAATTCTAGTTAGATGCAATTGTGTTTTTTTTTTTTTTTTTTGGGGGGGGGGTTGGGGGGGGGGGGAATATCTGTCACCTGAAATGGTCATGACAAAGCAAACATACAGACACATTTTTGTAGCTATACATAAACTAAACGTGAAATACAAATAAACAAAATAAATGAATTCTGCCTGGTTATGCTTTTTGTGCCTTGGCCAGACATTTATTTATTTTTTTATCCATGTGAAGCATCAGTTTATTTGAAAGTGGGGAAGGGGACGTCGTAAAGCCCCGACTGTCTCTCTAATCGCTTTTTCACAGATTCATCTATTGACTTCCTGTCCTCTGTTTGTCCACAGCTTGTTTTCGTCCTCTGTGTGGATGAAAGATGTGCTCCACTTTTACCTCTTTCCTGAGCTGCTGTCACACGGTCTCTTTTTGTTTTGTCTTTGTTTACCTTGCCACACGTTTGGCGTGTCTAAAAATGCTGAAGTCCAAAAGTGGAGAACTGAAGCACATTTTGTGGACCATCAACTCTGCAGCCTCGGTTCTGATCACTGCCTGTCCTGAATGTTGTGTAATTTGGGATACAGAGTGTAAAAACAAACAGCTTTTTTTTTTTTCTCCCCTCTGCAGGATGATTATTCTACCCACTGAGCCACACTTGTCCAAATTCTCACCTTCATTTTCTGGGACTAAAATTTATGAACAGTCTAAGCTCTAATCCAAGTGGTAAAAATAATTATAAAACAAATAATTAGTCGTGTAAAGCAGAAAACAGGCCAGTCTGCCCTCTTGTTGGGGCCAATTTCGGAAATAAGCATGCTGAGGCGAGTTAATCTTCATCAGCGCAGATGGAGCACCAGCTTAGCATATAGTGGGAGATAAGGTTGTGTTATAGAGCTCTACTTTTCTTAGTTTCTGCCAGAGCATGCAGAAATCATGTAGACCTGCCTGTAAATGAGGTAGAAAGGCTCTAGGCTTGCCACAGCTACGCCTGAATAAGACGCCAACTTTTCCTCTGGTGGCTGATGACGAGCGCTAGCGCAGTGTCTGAAATACAAATGTGTGAGTTTAAATCTGTCGCCGCCATAAGTTTTAATGGTGTTTTACCCGCTCAGACGCATTCATGTGTGATTTTAATTTCATTTCCTATTTAGTGGAAACACCACAGTTGCGAAATTGTGTTTTTTCTGACATTAACGAAAAAGTTTAGCACACATTTGTAAAGAAAATGCAGCTTGTGACATCGGTAAGACCATCTTCCGACTCTGACTGATTGTTTCTGTGTATTTCTGCAGATGGCAGTAGGACCACAGTGAGGAGAAAAAGGAGTTTGATTTTGTTTTCAGAGACTATCTGTCTTGTATTATACTGTCAGGACATAGAGAAAGTTTTAAGAAATAAATATATGTGACATACATATATTTATAAAACTCACCTACTGCAGCTTTAAGGTATTTTTAAGTTAATTTTATGAGATTGAAAACAAGTGCAGTGTTAAATTGAACTAAATAAAATCCTATTCCACAGACTGCACAAATGTAACCACTGCACAATTGATTGGATACAAATCTTTAACTATTTAAAATGCCAAGGAGCTGAAAGGGAGCTGAACATTTTAAGTATTTGGTTTGGTTAGATAAACACCTCTAAATATTAAGAAAACTAAACTTATTCTGCTTGGATATCAAAAATAAAAGCAAGATAACATTGAATTAATTGGGCTTGAAACTGATAACACAAAATACGGAAATGGAAATGAACTATAAAGACTAATTTATTACATCAGCGCGTAAATCCAGGGATGTAGTAAGACTTTGCATATAATTTACTTCTCGTTGATGCCACATTACAAACCTCATGAACTTTGGGGGCTGAACCTTTAAAACATCTTCAGAATCAATCAGTTGTTTTTTGAAAGTGTGCTATTGGAGATGCAAATGAAACGGTTTCTATGCTCACACAAAGCCACAATTTTTAATTTAAAGCAAGAAAGTTTGTGTGATCACCAGCAGGACCTGAATAAATAACTTTAGAGAATAAATTGAAAAGAATAAACATGTAGAAGTGTTCATATTTAACATTCTCTTTAGAGATATTTAGATATGATGCATAAAAACGTGATTTATTTTACTGAGAATGTTGCGTATGCATCGTGGGTAAACTTCAGTGAGACATTCATGAACTAATCTCACTGCAACAGAAAGAAGGCGGTGGAGCTGAAAGACCAGCTGTGGTCCACAAGGGGCGTTCCCCAGGTTTTAGATGAGTTTACCAATAATATTTATGTTATTTCATATTTTTCCACTCAGTTATTTGTTCCTTAATATTTTCCTCTTCTGTGGGGAAGTAAAAAGTCCTTGAAGAATATGTGATTAAATAAATACATGACTTTTGTCCTGTCTGAAGAGGATAAACGATAAGATCGTAGCCGGTGCATGAAGTTGAAGGGTTCAAGTCACAAACTCGTTCCACATGTCGGGCTGCAAAAGCATCTGTGGTATCCAAACTTAGCTGGAGGTGAAAGAGTGTGCAACAGTTTCACATGCGTAGAGATTTTGACTGTTTCCAGCTGCAGTGTTTGTCATTTAAACTCGAGGCGGGTTTGCAGCAGAGAGACGGAGGAGACGGCCGAGTCTGACTAAATGGCACAAAGCTCATCTCGCTGTTACGTAATGTCAGAACGGATTCGTGAAACTTTGGGTCATTCTTGGGATAAAGGTGCCACGATCCACATGCAGATCGCCATGACGATCACTGGGTGCAAAACATCAAACCGTGGATCGGATCACGCGCGTATCGGGGTCGAGAATTTTTGTCAGTGTGAAAAACTCCAGTGGGTTTTCTCAAACATCAAGGAGTGCAGCTTTTAAAATCAAACTGGTCTGTTCTTGTTTCTTGGATATTTCTGAGAAATTTCCTTTTGAAGGATAAAAAAACTGTTATTTTCAAATAGTAAATGAGGAAAATCAAAGACAAAATGAAAAGAAGTTTAGATCTCCAGGGTTCCCTTGACTCGGTTCATTACGGCCAGGCACTTCACAACTTTACAACAAAAAAATAAATAAATAAATTTCTGCAGCCTTGTAATGAAGAATGAAAATAAAGTCGAATTCAATGGATTTAAATATGATGATTTTCCACTCCACTACTTTGTAAGTACAGTAAGCATAGTTTTTTTTTAGCATATATTCTCCTTATCACCCTTACTTAATGAATAATAAACTGTTATTAATGATTTATAAAACGTTTATAGATTACATATTTATAAACTACTTATTAGCCATCTATGAAGCCCTGTTGAAAAGTGGCACCAAAGATTTCAACACAGGAATGTGAGACTAGCTAAAAGTATTTCTCTCATCTGCTTCAAGGTTCTTGTATGAAGGTAATTTTAGTCTCCAAGCCTCATTGGAAAGCATATTTCACTTCATTCAATGTGACTTCAGCACGACGTGTTGGAAGAAAGGGGAACTGTGCGAACCGCACGGCGTTGTCAATCAGCGTGTCACAGATATTTTTCATTCATTATGCAACACCTTTCGTGTCCCAGAAGGGAGAAAGACAAACGGAAATCGTGTTCAACTAGTAAAACAAGCAGCTGCTTGGTTTTCTAGTAATGGAGCTGTTGTGGCAGGTGCAACAAGATTCACAGCAGACATGACGTCACAAGAAACGTAAAGCATTTCTTGCTTTTTACATGTGAATTACTTTGTTTTTTGTTTTTGTTTTTTGTCAAACAGGACCCCCTTTATTTTTTCTTTTTTTTTTTTTTTACGACTCAGCTTTTTTTCTGGTGACTGACCCGTGCAGAGGGGAAGTTAAACACAAACTGTCTTTATACGAGCACCAAAGCATTTTGTCTTCCCGTGTCGTGACCAATCCTTGAACCGACCGAAACCGTTTCCCACACACGATGAGAACATTCCTCTCTGGGAATGTGACAACCAACCAGGTTGAGGCGAAGCAACGGAAGTGACAGTGAGTTCACGGCTTATTCACATACCAATAAATCTGTGTCAGGCGGGAGAATCAGCGGGCGTGCGCCGTAGCCGGGAGGAGGAAGTCCCCCTCCCAGCTCAGGATTGTGGCGTTCTGGTGACAGACGAACTGAGAACGAACCTGACAAAACAGCAATCTTCCAACCCGACAACGTCATACGGTTTATGAAACAGACGAGAGCAGACAGTCCAAAGAAACAGAACTGACACTGTTGATTACAGTACATTGTTGTTTTTTCCTTCAGGAATCATAAATTAAAAGTAATCCTACACGCCGAAAATGTAAAATAGACTCCAATTTGCTCATCTGGTACCCAGTCGCAAAGCTCTTTGCTGCTGTTTGTTTTTAACACAGACACGCCAGTGAAGAAGCAGCAAAAATGTTTAAAAGGTGAATCTTGTCCCCCAATATCTTAAAGCTGGTATTAGCTGCTGTGAACAATAGCTCTATTGAATTTGATTTAGTGCGCTGCATGGTTTACTCACAATGCCCTGCAGATATGCTGTGTCCCCTGGTGAAGGTGTGTAAAAAGCTCTAAATAATTTTTTCCTTTTTCTGCAGTTGGCTCATCTCACACTGTCCACCTTATTCCTGCTTGTTCTGCTGGGTGAATGAACACGTTATCGACCGGGAGCGGCACCGGAGTTGATGGTTTCGGGTTGGAAGATGTAAAAA